CGCAAGCATTCCAACCCCCATATACATCAACTCTCTGGAATACCAAACTACCTCAGCTCCCGCCAGCAGCCCCTACCTGATCTCCTGCAAGCATTCCAAACCCAACGCCCCTCAACTTCTGCAACCTCTTCAGCTCCCGCCAGCAGCACCCCAAACCCAACCTACCTCATTTCACGCAAGCTTTCCTCACGCAAACCCACCCCAACTTCTGCAACCTCTGGAACCCACACTACCTCAGCTCCCGCCCCCATGGGGCTCTAAGAGCGGCCCCCTCCGTCGGAAGTCCACGGGCCCCTTTTGGACTCCCCCACAGGGGGGTCCGCCTCTGGGGGGCAGTTCTGGATGATCTCCTGCGCTCTCTTTGGGCCCCGTTGGGCCGCCTGAAGGAGCCCTCTTGGGGCACTGTTGGGCCACTCTTGGGTCCCTCTTGGGCCCCCAGGGGCGATCCACACCCAACCTACAACTTGTGCAACCTGTGGAAACCAAAACTACCGTAGCTTTAGCCAGCAGCCCCAAACCGAACCTACATCATATCCCACCTCTTCCAAGCCCAATCATCCTCAACTTAAACCCAAACTACACCGGCTCCCGCCAGCAGCCCCAAACCCAACCTACCTCATCTCACACGAGCCTTCCAAACCCAACCTACCTCAACTTGTGCAACCTCAAGACACCCACACTACACTGGCTCCCGCCAGCAGACCCAAACCCAACCTGCCTCATCCCACGCAAGCTTCCCAAACCCAACCTGCCTCAATTTCTGTAACCTCTGCTAAACCAAACTATACCAGCTCCCGCCAGCAGCCCCAAACCCAACGCACTTCAACTTCTGCATCCCCTGGGAACCCGAACTACATCAGCTCCCGCCAGCAGCCCCAACCCCAACCTACCTCATTTCCGCACGCCTTCCAAACCCAACCTGCATCAACGCCTGCCACCTCTGGAACCCAAACTACATCAGCTCCCGCCAGCAGCCCCAACCCCAACCTACCTCATTTCCGCACGCCTTCCAAACCCAACCTGCATCAACGCCTGCCACCTCTGGAACCCAAACTACATCAGCTCCCGCGAGCAGCCCCAAACCCATCCTACATCATTTCCCGTCAGCCCAAGCCAGCAACCCCAAACCCAAGCCATCATCTCCCATAATCATTCCAAACCCAACCAACCTCAATTCTGCAACCTCTGGCAGCTCCCGCCAGCGGCCTAAAACGCAACCTACCTCATCTTCCGCAAGCCTTCCAAACCCAACGAGCAATCTCTGTAAACTCCAGAAAAAAAACTCAGCTCCCGCAAGCAGCCCCAAACCCAACCTACCTCATCTCACGCAAGCCCCCCCAAACCAAACGACCTCAACCCAAACTACTTGTTGGGGCTGTGGTACCTATGAGGCTTGAGGGACGTGGGACCTGTATAGGGCCTGTGGGACCAGTGGGACCCGTGGGGCCTCTAGGAGCGCTTGAGACCTTCCTCGCACGCCCATTGCACCAACCATCTCTTCTCTCGCAACAACCCAAAACCACCCCCCAAAAAAACACCCACACGCACGCCGATTACATTGCCACACGCGCACACGCCGCACACCCACACGCACCCCTCTCGAACAACCCACACGCACGCCGATTACATTACCAGAAAAACTGTTCACCAGCCCGCTGGGGGCCTCTCAAGGTACTCTCCGCAGTAGGGCTCCAAGAGGGGCCCCAGAAGGCTCCAAGAGGGCCCCAAGAGGAGCCCAATAACGCAGCATGGGGCGCGCGCGCTTCTGCCACTGGTGTTGCGGCCTCGTCGCACATCGTAGATTGCTTCTGGGCCCTCTTGGTCAGGCGTCTCACAGGTCTTTGCAGGGGCCTTTGCAATGTCGTTGCAGGGGTCTTTGCGGTGTATTGCAGGGGTATATGCAGTGTCTTCGTCTGGGGGAAACTATAGGGAGAAGGGACTATGATGAGTTGGAATAACGAACTCCGCTCATTTCCCTTCGCAAGGTCTTCATCGTCACTGACCCTGCTCGTCCGGGTGATCGCATCGAACTTGCTGCTGTCTTGAAGGGGGGGTATGTGATGTCCGCGCGGTTGCTATTGGAATCGAATGGGCCAGGTATCAAATACGCTGACACCCTACATACGCGCAGGAAGGTTTGGATCACTCCGGACTTTGAAGAGCGCCACAAAGCCTTTGCATCAATTCTCCGGGAGGCGCCTGTCAATGCCAAGGCCACTGGCGCCAAGGTCCACATGACGTTTCTCAAGTCTGACGCTGAGTTCGATGCTGCCAAGTCCAACGCGGTGACCAAGAAGCGGCCTACTTCTGTGCTTGGGATTGGGACTAAGAAAGAATGCAAGGCCTGATGTTCGAAACTCGTCGTCGTCGTCGTCGTCGTCGTCGTCCTCGAACCTCGGACATCGAACCTCGAACCTCGAACCTGGAACCTCAATCTGTTGCGAAGTCTTCGAGATGGTTTCCGGATGCCACTTGCACTTTCTCATCCCCTTCCTCCTGATCCTCCTTCCCACCCGCCTCTTCCTGCTCCCCCCTGCTCTTCCCTCCTGCTGCTCGTGCTCCCACTCCTCATCGCCCTGCTCCTTCTCGTCATCCTCTTCCTACTCTTCAGGCTTTCGCACCCCACTCGGGATACGAATGCTGCGATTCGACAATCGCCTTGCAGGCTGACCCCGCCAAGTTCACTAGCATCACCAATGCGATGCAACTCATGAAGCACATCGACCACGAGTGGACGACGATTGGCATTGCAGGCAAGTAGGCATTTTCGCGGGGATTTCACTGGTGGTGATTCAATTCACGGGTGGTGCTGGTATCACAAGCAGGGGTAATTGTGCACGTCCAGCGCAGTGTTCGATAGGTCCTCCTCCTCGTCCTCCTCCTCCTCAACCCCCTCCTTCTCCTCCTCCTCCCTCCTCCCTCCTCCTCCTCCTCCTCCTCCTCCTCTTCCTCCTCCTCCTCCTCCTCCTCCTCCTCTTCCTATCTTTGTTGTTCCTTCTTCGGCCCTGCAGGGGCGATGTCAATCCTATGCTGTTCCTCCTCCCCTATCCTCCTCCTCCTCCTCCTTCTTCTTCTTCCTGCTCCTCCTCCATCCGGACGGTGCTCCTCCGCCTTCGCCCTCTCGCGTGGCACCTCCCGGAGCTCCGCAGCAGGTGTAGGAGCATTTGCAGGGCCGCAAGAGGGGGCACGAGCAGGGGCAGGATGAGGAGGCGAAGGAATGAGGATAAGGAGGCAGCGGAGGAGTGATGAATGAGGAATGAGTTGAGGTCAAAAATGCAGCTGATATATGATTGAGGTGGATGAGGATGAGGCCGACGTCGAGAGGAACTGATATATGATGAGGACGCGAGGATAATGATGATGATGATGATGATGATGATGATGATGATGATGATGATGATGATGATGATGATGATGATGATGATGATGATGATGATGATGAGAGGAGGAGGAGGATGATGATGATGAGATGATGATGATGATGATGATGATGATGATGATGATGATCAGGAGGAGGAGGAGGAGGAGGAGGAGGAGGAGGAGGAGCATGATGTGATCATGTTGTTTTGGCGGGGGGGGGGGCGATCGGGCATTCGACTTTTGATGAGGATGATGAGGATGATGAGGATTGACGATGACGATGAGGATGATGAGGATTGAGGGGGGGGAGGAGGGGGGGGAGGATGAAGAGGAGGATGAGGAGGACGAGGGGGAGGGGGAGGGGGAGGAGGAGGAGGAGGAGGAGGAGGAGGAGGAGGAGGAGGAGGAGGAGGAGGAGGAGGAGGAGGAGAAGGAGGAGGAGGAGGAGGAGAAGTTTGAAGGAGGAGGAGGCGGAGGAGGAGGAGAAATACGAGGATGAGGGAGGGGGGGAAGGAGGATGAGGAGGATGATGAGGTGGGAGGGCGAGGAGGAGGCGGAGGAGGATGAGGAGGAGGATGAGGAGGATGAGGAGGATGAGGAGGAGGATTGGAGGAGGAGGCCACGCTGTAACGGGTGGGGCTCAGAAACCCCTCCCTTAGAGTGCCCATGCGCGCACATGGGCGCTGTATCCCCATTCGCGGGGTCACTCCGGGGCGGGCCATCCTGGGGCTACGGCGGTGCCAGGGGGACCTTGGAGTGCATTCGGCGGCGGGGCTCCAACACCGCGTCGCGCGCCCAGATGCTATAAGATGTGGGGCTCAGAGACCCCCCCCTTACAGCAGGGCGGCGGGCCCAAGAATCGTCGGTCATGGCTAACGCCTTGGGGTTATGGCACCCTGGGGCGCGCGGGAAGTCTGTAACCCCCCAAGAGTCCGAGACGACGACGACGACGACGACAACGACGACGGCGGCGACGGCGGCGACGGCGACGGCGACGGCGACGGCGACGGCGATGGCGACGACGACGACGACGACGATGACGACGACCCCCCCTTACAGCGAACCGGCGCGCCCGGAAGGTCTGTAACCCTAAAGTACGCGCCCGCCACCTTAGGGTCATAACTAAAGTTTTTCGACTAAAGTTTTCGGTGCCCGAGATTCCAGGTCATAACTAAAGTTTTCGGATTAAAGTTTTTGGACTAAAGTTTTAGGGATGTGCACGTCCAGTGGCGCAGTGTTCGATGTCCGAGGTCCTCCTCCTCCTCCTCCTCCTACTCCTCCTCCTCCTCCTCCCTCCTCCTGGTGCCCCTTCCCCCATTGCCATCCTCCCCTCCTGGTCGTTCTCCTCCTCCTCCTCCTCCTCTCTCCTACCTATGGTCTCTTAGGCCTCCCTCCCTCCTCCTACTCCCCCCTCCCCCCCTTGCGCCCGCATCCTCCTCCTGCCTCATCTATCTCCCTCCTCCGCCTCCTCCTCCTCCTCTTCCTCACCCTTCTTCACCTCATCCCCCCTTTTCCTTCTCCCTCTTTCCGCTTCCTCCTCCTCGTCCTCCTCCTCCTCCCTCGACGTCATCCATCACCTGCTGCTGATGGTTCAAGCGATCTACGGCGAGTGGTCTTGACGGCCGCGAAGTTGTGCAGCGATGGTCAAGGCCGTCGTCAAGCGCAAGGCCGATGACCTGACGAGTACGGGGTTGGCGAAGATCAACGACGCCTATTACACCGCCCTCGGCAACGCCGTCAGCCGAGTTTTGCAGAGTGACGCGTTCAAGGATATGCGAAGTAAAGCCCCCTTGACAATCACGCATGGAGGTTCACGAGAAGCTTTCAAGAAGGAGAGCTTCAGAACCGCCCTCAAGAAAGATGACTACGTGACATCGGGGAATGCTGCGTGGATCAACGAGATGTACAACCCGCTCCACGGCGTTCCGCTGAGTTCCACCAGCATCCAGAACATCGCGGACCACAACTACAGGACGCCCAGCTCCGTGGGTAACATCACCTTCGACATCGCAGCAGATTCTCACACTTGGAGTCCTGAGGAGCATAAGGGCGCCCTGAAGCTGGCAGGGCCGATGGAACCATTGCACGCGTTGTGGATCGCTGCCGACAGGGACATCCAAGCGAACCCCGAGGACACCGACCTTCATGGTGAGTGGGCCAAGGTTTTCCGGGGCGTGGGCTTTCGCTATGTCGTCATTTCAAACGACTTGGACGTGTTCCACCACCAGGAGAACGAGAAAGAGAAGTTAATCACCCTCGGCGACGCTGTCACGCCCAGTGGCCTGCAAAAGATCATGAAGATCGTGAATTACAAGATCCGGTACTTGCAGAAAGAGCAGAAGGACGACATACCAAATACAGAGCTGATGAGGTGGCTCAAGTCGAAGATTTCATTGTCTCCCAAGTCGGAGCAGTTCTCAGCTGACTACGTGAACCACGCCATCTCCACTTTCGACAACGCTATCTCCAACACTACGATTTTGGGACTTGTGTCGGAGTGCGAGAAGATGGGCACCGCCTCCCCTTTCGCTTTCATTTCTGGGATGCACATCATGGCCACCAAGAGCAAGGTCCATCCTGGCCTTCTCCTCCTCTTCCTCCTGCCTCGTCGTCCTCCTCCTCGTCGTCGTCGTCCTCCTCCTCCTCCTCCTCCTGCCTCCTCCTCCTCATCATCATCCTCCTCCTCCTCCTTCCCAACATGTTTCTATTGTAGTAGAAACATGCTGGCAGCACTGCCAGAGTGTTGTTACCCTCCTCCTCCTCCTCCTCCTCCTTCTCCTCCTCCTTACCCCCCTCCCGCTCACTCGTCGTCGTCGTCGTCGTCTTCGTTGCTTCTCCTCTTCTCCTCCCTCTCCCCCAGGTCCTGAGTGAGACCATTTGGATATTCGCCAGCGCTGTGGACTACGTGAAAATGGATTTCGCTGAAAAAAATGCCTTCGCCACGCGTCATCTCCAGCCAGAACGCGGCAACAAGAAAAGCATATTGGACCTCTTCCTCTTCAAGAAAACCGTCCGCGACTACCTGGTGGATACGTGGATGTCGGCCAAGCCTTGGCCAAGCGAGATCAAGGCGCTCATCCGGGAGAAGACCAAGGACCACGGGGTATACCGAAAGATGGTCCGTGGGTATCCGGATGACCACTCCCCGAAGGATCACACTTGGAAGAAGGGCTTCTCCATCAGCGCGAAGCTCTTTTTTGATATGGTCGAGGGCGTCGCGTACGACAGGGAGTTTGACCCGTCACTCAATAATGCAGTAAAGAACCGAAAGAGCGCAGCCGAGGTACTCGAGTACACGCAGTTCAAGGAGAAGATCGCCGACATCGAGAAGCAGATCACCGACGAGGCAGTAGCGAAGGCGGCGATGGATAAGGGGGGCGTGGAGCCAGTCACCACGCCAGCGGGATCCACAGCGCAGGACGGCGTGAAGCTGGATGTGCCCAGCGTGGACTCCAAAGAGGTTGAGGATAAGGAGAAGTTCACCGACTACTGGCAGAAGTACGCGACGGAGTTCCTCAGGACCTACATCACCCTCATCTCGGAGCCTCAGACGGAGGCGCAGCTGGCAGCTGCGTTGACGGCCTGCTCGGTGAGCCAGACCAGCGTTGGCGTGAAGGGCCAGGACTATGTGGCAGCGTTCTTCACAGCAGGGTTGTCATCAGAATCCATCACTGATCCACACACGCGGGGTGCACCATTTCGCAAGGAGAGGCTGCTAAAATGTGGCAAGGCGTTCCTCGCAGCTCGGAGGGATTTACACCGGAGGAACTCGGGGAGCGACGATGAGGAGATAACCATCGGTCCCGGAGACGTTTTTATCGCGCTGGACAACCAGAAGCCTGGCAATTTGAGCAAGTTTACCGACTTCTTGAAAGACTCCCAGGGGAAGAAAGACCATCTTTTCAAGCGCAAGTTCATGCTGGTGTACGACTTCCACACCCTTAAGGCCCGCAGGCACCGTTCCAAAGGAATTGGCACCCTGAAGCAGGAGGAGACCATGATCGCAGTGACAAGCGGCGCAGCGTTGCAGGTCCCATCGAAGATGCACACCAAGTACCAGGGCCATAACAACGGGACGTGCATCGGGCCGATCAAGCTTACGCCATTCAATGAGTGCTGGACGGTCAGCTTCGACGAGAAGAAAGCCATCTATGGAAAGTTGCGCCTACCAGTTGGGGGATCTGGTGACGACGACGGCGATGATGGCTGCGGCGACGGAGGCGATGGAGATGAGGTTCCCCCGACGATCGCGGAGTTCGAGGCCGCAGCTTCCTGCCTTTCGACGGATCCACCATTCGAGACCCCCAGCAAGAAGACCAAGGTTCGTGCGGGAGCTAACATCGAGCCCATGAGCTACTACAGCATGCCCGAGGAGTTCTTCGCCGATGTCATCGACGCCCTTTGCTTGAAAGATACATTCGACTTCACGCCAGGAGACGGGGCCAATGCCATGGCTCACCTCAGGAGCTGCCGCCAGATTCCCAGGAGCTACGTGGGCATCTGCTTCAACGACGTGCACCTCGAGAAGCTCGAAGCACACTTGATCAAGATGACGCTGAAAGCCTTCTGCACCTCGTCGGATCCGCTCTTCCATCCGCAGTACGCAGCTGGGTTGAAGAACCATGGTGAGGCGGCGGTGCTGGCGCCGACCAAGGGCCCCATTCTCAAGGTTCCCAAGGATTCCGGTGGTGGCGGGGGTCCCAAGGATCCCATCAAGGATACCAAGAAGAACAAGTCCGAGGACGACAAAAAGAAGAAGAAGAAGAAGTCCAAGAAGAAAAAGAGCTCGTCTTCTTCGTCGTCTTCGGAGTCGGGCGATTCGGCATGACGCCACTTGCCCAGGACTGGATTGAGCTAATTTTTTTGGGCCAGTGCGATGCTCAGTTCTTTTTGGCGCCCTGCTATGGGCTACCAGCGAGGACGAGGAGGAGGAGAGGACGAGGAGGAGGAGGAGGAGAAGGATGAGGAGGAGGAGGAGGGGGATGAGGATGAGGAGGATGAGGAGGAAGACGAGGACACGGAGGAGGGAGACGAGGACGAGGAGGAGGACGACGATGACGAGGAGGAGGAGGAGGACGATGATGATGATGATGATGATGAGGAGGAGGAGGAGGAGGAGGAGGAGGCTCGAGGGTCGGAGGAGGAGGAGGACGTCGACGACGAGGAGGATGAGGAGGAGGAGGGTAATGATGCTGTGCTGGCCCCGCTCAAATGCCACGCTCTCGGCGCCTCCTGCAGCACGTGTCGTGCATTCGTTTCGGAAGCCAGCGAGGCCAAGTTGGTTCCGATTGTTGGCAGCCCTGCGCGCAGATTCTTCTCAGGCCTCAGCCCATTCGTTCACTCATGGGTTTCTCGTCTCTTGTTCGCCCGTCCCCGTCGCATATTACAGCGTTTCTCGCGCTGGTTCGTTTCTTCTGGCTTGTCGGCATGATTGGGTGATTCGTCGACTTGCAGCGACGCTGGATTTTTTGTCTCTGCCGATGGCATGGGATACAACGTGCACTCAGAGTGCCGGCGCAGAGGCTGGGCGGCACTCCAGCCCCTGGGGCATGAGGAGGAGTAAAACGAGGATGAGGAGGTAGTCGAGAGGGAGGAAGAGGAGGAGGGAGGCTATCTTACATCCCAGACGCGCGCTGTCTTTACACGTTGTTTTTTGGATACGCTGATTCGCTTCAGCAGAAGTTGCAGGAGAATGCATGTCATGTCCAAGCGTCACCGCCACGCAGTTTCCAATCCGTGCTGCGATTCTTTATTCATTGACGCTTTGATCAGAGAGTGTATCAGCATGCAGCGTAGCAGCATGCAGCGTAACTCAGAGGGCCCCAAGACGGGCTCCATGGGGACTCCATGAGGGGTCCCACGAGGGCTTGAGGGCTTTATCATGATATGGTTTGGGGCCCTCTTGGGGGCCTCTTGGAGCCGTCTTGGGGCCCTCTTGGGCCTTTCTTGGGACCCTCTTGGAGCCTTTTTAGGTCTATCTTGGAGCCCCCTGGCCCTGGCCGTCACCGGCACCAAGACTGACCACTCAGGGACAGTGTCGAGGCCTTAGGGTCTTAGGGCCTTAGAGTCTTAGGGTTTTAGGGTCTTAGGTCGTGTCTTACGGTCTTAGGGTCTGAGGGTCTCAGGGTTGTCCGAATGACGCGCGACTACACAACATCAAGCATACCAACAACATCAACAAACGTCAAACATCAAAGAACAAACATACAACATCAAATAACAAATACACCACACAGCATCATCAAACAATAACATCATACATCAAATAGCAAACATACCACATCATGACAACACCACCACGAATCGTCAAACAAACCACAACAAACATACTCAACAGGCAAACGAGCAAAGCGAAACACACATAGTGCCATTATACAAGGCATGCGCTTAAACGCAAAGAGCCAAACACTGAAACCGACGGGCAATTTGAACATAGATCTCACGCGCCTAGAGAGGGGTCGGCAGAGTTCGCTATGTAGCGCAGCCCGATCCCAGCCAGCCCAGCATTCTGGCATCCTTGCCTGATGAGGTTAGCTAATACATGTTGCTATTATAGCGCAGCCCGATCCGAGCCCCCCCTGGCACTCTGGCAGCCTTGTCTTATCTCTACAAACAGTCAATGCAAAAGCATCCTTACCCATCCAGGGAATCCAGGAAATCCAAGGAATGCATCCTTACCCATCCGTCGCCAATTAGACTCAAGCCATTTTGCAACAATGTCGCTCTGGGACGACCCGCGTGCAGGGAGATTCCTTCCGATATGGAACCCTGTCACGCAATGTCTCAACTATCCTTGGTTCGACGGGGACAATATTGACTGGCTCCCTGCTCACTTGTGGTTACACCGCCACAACAACAGAGAGCTGTTCGGCCGCTCGCGGTACATCAAGACGCCCACCCCAGAGCAACAGGACGACGACGACGTCGTCCACGGCACGGACGGCGCGGAGGCGGCCGACGAGGAGGACGTGGACATGGCGGGCAGTGCAGAGAAGCAAGCGGCAAGCGACGACGCCACCAGCAACATCGCCGCAGACCAGCCGGCCACCATCGGCGACATGACGGGTAACGCCGACGACGCGGGCCACGACACGGGCGGCGCGGAGGCGGCCGACAGCCTTCACGTGGACACGGCGGGTAGCGCCGCAGAGCAGGTGGCAAGCGACGACGACGCCAGCATCATCATGTCTCCAGACAGCGCTGCAGATCCAGCGGCCGTTGTCGCGGCCATCGTCGGCGACACGACGGGCAACGCCGAGCACAACGACGCGGGCCACGACGGGAAGGGCTGCGCGGAGGCTGCCGGCGAGGAGGCCGACGTCGACGAGCTGATCACCCCTAGCGGCGACAGAGACCACGCCAGCGCTGGCAGCGAGGAGGGCAGGCTTCTGACTGAGCCCATGCCTCTTCTGAAGCGTCCGCGGCAGTAGGCAAAAAGCCCGAGGAGGTAGTATCCTTGGTCGACGGCCCCCACAAGGCTCCCAGGAGACCCCCAAGAGGCCTCAAGAATATCCCAGAGGCAACTGAGACCATCAAAAACGGCCCTGACTTCCCTGGTCACCTCAACTCGCCTTGGCGTCGTTTCTGGATGGGCTGGTGGGGATACGCGAAGCGTCAAGAATAACTGACGGGACACTGTGTACAACTGCCTGCCACAACTACCTGGGATCAAACACTTGACCGTTGCTGACTCCACCGTCGTCGTCGTCGTCGTCGTTACGTCGTCGTCGTCGTCGTCGTCTGGGCGCCTCTTGGGGAGTCTTGGGGCGCTCTTGGGGGCTTTCGAAGCGCTCTTGGAACTGGGCTCTCTTGGGGCCGTCTCGGGGCTCTATTGGGCCCCTCTTGGGGCTGGGCCATCTTGAAGCCCATCTTGAGGTCCAAGCATCAAGTTTTTGAAGGGTGTGGGCATCTTGGGGGGCCTCCTTGAGGGTTTCGAGGGCCTCTTGGAGCCGTCTTGGAACGTTCTTGGGGCCTCTTGGACCAGCCAGGGGGCCATTTTGAAGCATACTGCGCTATCTTGAGCCATCTTGGAAGCCATCTTGAGCTCTCCGAGCCTCTCTTGGAGCCATCTTGGACGCTCAAACGCGTTACCCCCCCCCCGTTCCAAGTCCAGGTAAACCCCTCCCCGAAGGGGAAGGGGGTTGGCTGGTGGGATTCCCCGACTTTGCGAGCAGTCTCCCGCATCCGATGCGCAGGCGCTTCACTCGCCATTGCATCTGCTGGTGGGGATACAACTCTGCTGGTGGGGATACAATAAGTAGCCAAGAAGTGTCCTGGATCCTATCCGTCGAGGGCCCACAATCGACCCATCCAGCGTTGCGTTTGCACAAGAATTCGATGGCGGATGAAGCCATGGCCAAAAACATCGAAGGTCGACGCTCGAAGCTTCAACCTCGATTGAAACAAAACGCGTACACGTCTTCGTCGTCGTCGTCGTCACCCCCCTCCGTCTGTGGCCCCCGACTGCCCGGCCAAGGGGGAGCCAGGCGGAGGGGGGGGCGGACTTTTATGGGAGGGGCGGGGGTGGGGATCGAGGAGGAGGGAGGAGGACGGGAAGGACGACGACGCCGACGACGACGACGACGACGACTGGCCTGCTATGTTCCCACGCTTCGCGTAGCATGGCCTGATTCTTGGGGTTCGAACCTCCATTGGACGTTTTTCCGCCTTTTTGTTCCTGGAGGATCGCCGTCGTCACGGCAGGATCCGCCTGGAGATTCTGGCGCGGGCACACCCCTGGATGGATTTGGAGTCGACTTTCGGCCCCTGGGCCCGGCAGCGGCCGCAGTGGACGACAGCGGCGGCCTGGCGAGGCTTCGACGAGCGCTGTCGGCTGCTGGCTCCAAGCAGATTCGGGCGGTGGGTGAGTGGTGGGTGGGTGGTGGGTGGGTAGTGGGTGGGTTGTGAGAGCGGGAGGTGGGTGGTGGTTGAGTAGGTGGGTAGTGTATGCTGGGTGGTGGGTGGGTGGTGGATTAGTGGTGGGTGAGTGGTGGGTGATGGTGGGTGGGGTGGTGGGTGGTGGGTGGGAGGTGGATGGTGGGTGGGTGGGTGGTGGTGGGTGGGTGGGTGGTTGGTAGGTGGGTGGTGGGTGGTTGGTGGGTGGGTGGGTGGACGGTGGGTGGTGTATGGCTGCTTGGTGGGTGCGGGAGTGGTGGGTTGGTGTGGGGTGGGTGGTGGGTGGTGCAGGGGTGTGTGATGGGTGGTGGGTGGGTGTTGTGTGGGTGTTGGGTGGGTGTTGGGTGGGTGGTGATTGGGGTGGTCCCTGGGTGGAGGGTGGTGGGTGGTCGGTGGATGGGTGGTGAGCGGGGGTCGGTGGGTGGGCGGTGGTGGGTTGGTGGTGGGTGGGTGGTGGGTGTGGATGGTTGATGGGTGGTGGGTGAGTGGTGGGTGGGTGGTTTGGAGCTGGTGAATGGTGGTTGTGTGGGTGGGTGGGGGGTGGATGGTGGATGGGTTGTGGGCGGGTGGTGGCTCGGTGGCAAGTGGGCGGTTCGGGCGGTGGGTGGGTGGCGGGTGGGTGTTGTATGGGTGGTGGGAGCCTGGTGGGTGGGTGGTGGGTGGGTGGTGGGTGGGTATGTGGGTGGGTGGTGGGTGGTGGGTTGTGGGTGGGTGGTGGGGGATACGTTGATAGTTGGCGGGTGTTGGGTGGGTGGTGGGTCGGTGGTGGAGGGTGGATGTGACATGTATGGTGGGTGGGTGGTGGGTGGGTGGTGTGGAGCCAGTAGTGGTGGGTTGTGGGTGTGTGGTGGGTCAGGGGTTGGAGGGTGGTGAATGGGTGGTGAGTGGGTGGGTGGGTGTTGGGTGGTTGTTGGGTGTGTGCAGTGGTGGGTGGTGGGTTGGTATGGGGTGGGTGGTGGGTGGGTGGGGGGTGGGTGGTGGTTGGGTGGTGGGTGGTCGGTGGTGGGTGGGAGGTGGGTGTGTAGTGGTTGGTGGGTTGGTGGGTTGTAAGCGGTAGGTGTGTGGTAGGTGGGGGGTGGTGGGTGGTTGGGGGTGGGCGGTGGGGTGGGTGATGGGTTGGTGGTGGGCGGGTGGTGGGTGGGTGATGGCTTGCAGGTGGGCGGGTGGTTTTTGCCCACGCCGTCCCCTGACTCTTAGCTGCCAAGTGCGTGGTGCTACGCAGTGAGAGGAACATTGAATAACTTTGCTAGACTACAAGGTATATTCGTCCTGACACACATAAGGCATCAACTGATTATGTTTTTTCTGTGGTTTAATGGTATAAGTTTTTCGTGTGGTTTAACGACTGTCTCTGCCCTCATATTTTCACGACTGTCCCCCTCATGGTTGCACGACTGTCCCCCACATGGGGTTTCACAAATGCCTCCCCCCCCCTCATGGTTCCGTGGACAACCCAAACCCAAACCCAAACCCAACCTACATCAACTTCTGTACTGGAAGCCCAAACTACCCTGTGGGGGCTGTGGTGCCCGTGAGACTTGTGGGACCTGTGGGGCTTGTTGGACTTGCGAGCCCTGTAGGACGTGTGGGACCTGTTGGGTCCGCGGGGCCGAAGGACCGCCTGGAACTTCCTCGCAATACACACCTAAATGAGGCTCCCCAAAAAAGAACATGCACCTCAAAACAAACAAAACAATCCCAAGCCAGAAAACCACACACGCCCATACAATATATGTCATTAAATTGTTCAGGGGACTAATGATGTAATAGTAACCGTCTTAACAATATATTGAGCAATTAAGGAGCCTATCTTGGAGCATCGGGAACCCTCCTGGAGCCAGCCTGGGCGAAAGAAGCCCCTGGGGGGGAGAGGGCTGGTACCCTTGCCCGAAGGGAAGAGGGTCTTGGTAAGAGAAAAGAAAGATATCGCTAGCATGGTTATATTGTATCGACAATGCATTGTAAGGTGCACGTGTTAGTGCAGACGCACGAGAGCACGGCACAGTGGGTGACATCAGACACAATAATCAACAGGAGCGGCACCACCAGCAGCGCGATCAGCAACCCATAGCAAGAGCAGCACCAGCACCAGCATGACAAGCACCAGTAAGTGGTGTCGTTGGCTCAAGCCTGGGCCACCGACCGATTGCAGCGCAGGTTCCCTGACGCTGGATCCCGAATCTCAGTGATGGACCTCGACGAGCTCCTGCCGGACGAGGTGCCTCAGCCCAAGCCCCAGCCCAAGCGTCAGCCCCAGTCCAAGCTGGTGAAGCCGAAGGCAAAACCCAAGCCCCAGCCCAAGCGTCAGCCCCAGTCCAAGAAGTCTACCTCGTCGGAGAAGCCTTCGACAAACAAACCCGTCAAGAAGACTACTGACAAGAAGAATACCGACAAGAAGAAGAATACCGACAAGAAGAAGGCCGTCAAGAAGGCCGTCAAGAAGAATACCGACAAGAAGAAGAAAAGCAGACGTGATCCGTCACCGTGCTCGTCTTCTTCATCCTCCGAGGGGGCCGTGCTCTTGCGCCTGGGGACGTTCTTCAGCGGGCTGGAAACTCCATCGGTCGCCTTGAACCAGATCGGCCTGCCACACAAGTTAGAGTTTGCGATTGAGCTAGAGGACTGCCTGCGGACCCTCATCTACCAGACGTGGCACCCCACGGAGCTGCACTCGGATGTGAATTCTGTCGACATGAAGGCTTTGCCCGACGTCGACATCGCTGTTGGGGGAGCTCCGTGCCAGCCATTTGCCAAGGGTGGCTCATTGAAAGGCATGGAGGATCCACGGGGGCGTCTCGTCTACAAGATGGTCGAGTACGTGGAGGCCAAGGCCAAGGCTAATCTTCCATTGCCGCGCGCCCTCCTCATGGAGCAGTCCAAGACCTTGAAGAACAAGTGGAGCGACGTTTACGACAACATCAAATCTCGTCTTACCAAGCTAGGCTACCGCTTCAAGTCGACCTTCGTCAATACCAACCTCCATGGAATACCCCAATCACGCGAACGGCTTTACATGGTGGCCTACTTCAAGGTGCACAAGTTCCACTTTCCCGAGGAGTTGAAGACAACCATTCCCATTGAGAAGATGTTGCACCCGATGTGGCAGACCGACTTGAAGACCACGCTTGTCCCAACAAACGCAGTGGCGCGGATTGACCAGGCCCGCAAGGAAGCGGCGGACAGCGGCTACAACCCCGACGTCGACACCGTCTTCGTCGACCTAGACTCGTCAGAGCGTTTCTGGAGTTGGAAGGTTGATGAGAGCATGACGTTGACGAGAAGGCGATGTGAGGGTGGCGGCTGGTTCATGACGAACCGCGGTCGCCGGCAGACTGTCCGTGAGATGCTCGCGATGCAAGGGATCGTCCCGCGTAGTCTGGGGGACACAACTTGCATGTCTAGGACGGCGCTGCTGTCTGCGATCGGCAATGCCATGTCAGTCAACGTACTGGAGCGGATCCTGCCCCGCATCGCCTGGTCCATCGGTAAGCTGCCCCAGAAGATGCACGACGTCTGGGATGATGAGTCCTGGGCGCTGAGGGGAGGCCGTTTCAATGACGAGTCATCGTGGTTTCTCTGAGTGAGGGCTGGCGATTCCAATATGTTGCTAGGGTAGTGGCTAAGTACAGGAGGAAGTATGCATAAAATTTACAGCTCTAGCAATTTGATTGGGAGTTGCGCGTGGCTGAGGCTAGCGCGAGGCTGAGACCTCCCTGCCTCTGCGAACAAAGGCTTAGCGACGGACCAGGGCGAAAATCAACGCGGCTTCCGCCTAGTACCGCCAACCCTGCCTTGTTGCGTTTTGCTGGGCTTGGCTTGTGGTGCCTCTCTGGCGGGGTGGAGTCTCGGGCCCTCTGGCTGCGCGCGAGGCCCTGCTGGGCCTGGGGGGCTTCGGCTTGAAAATTGTTCCGGAGCGTGTTGGGTTTTAGGATTCTTGGGCCATGCACTGGGCATTCTGGGCACGTCGAGGCTTCGAGCCAAGGGGAGGCCCCGTAACCGCATAAGCATGCAGCACGACGGCCAGCAACACGTGCAGGAGCCAACATCCACATCACGAATGGCAAACGTAGCAACGCAACAGTCAGACTCAGCAGTTGTCGCGGAAAGTCGTGGTGGTATGCGTATACGGCGTATAAAGACGCATAACAGACACATGCACGTATACAACCTCATATCCATAAGCAATTGCAGCATGCGCGCAATCACGGAAACCCATGAATGCGTATACACGTACATACGTGGATGCATACCCGTGCGGATTCCTAACATACACGTTCACATATATACCCACATGGGCACACACGTCAAACGCATGCATGGATCTATGGAGCGATACACATACGCGTATGCATACATGCACATGATCTCGCTATCGCACATATAGGCGTACATATATGTAAATGCCCAACCCTACACGAACGCGGGCATGTATGCACACCCTGGCTATACTTTGTATATGCTGATCGGTTCGCACTCGCGAACGTACACATAAACGTATACACGCATATACGTGTACTATCCGTACATGTACATGTGTGCAGGGTTACAAAACAGTGTTCGGGCATACGTCGACTCCAATGCATACGCATCATCAAATTCTATCAAATTCTGGCATGTATATATATGCATAGTTGCACGAGTAACTACATGTATACACGCGCATCTATACATACATGTATTTCTGTGTCTACGTATATATATATATATATGTTTGTATAGATACGTGTGCGTAAACATAGCTGTAAATACATATATGTGATATATATCTAAATATGTATGGTTGTATATATGTATGTATGTATGCATGTATGTATGTATGTATGTATGTATGTATGTATGTATGCGTACACATACATGCATACACATATATATGTATATATATATATATACATATATATATAAGAGAGAGAGAGAGAGAGAGAGAGAGAGAGAGTGTGCCAGCGAGAGGGACATATACAAGTACATACAGAGACAGAGACATATGCATAGACAGAGACAGAGATGGAGGACGAGGGGGAGGAGTCCATGAGCCGACGGGGAGAGCGAAAAACGCTAAACTTTAGCTATGCCCTGGCAAGGAGAGGGGGGGAGGGGGGGCGACGCGTAATACAGCGTTCGTGTCGGAGGGGGCAGTGGGCGGGGGCCCCGCTGGGGCGCTGGGGGCGCGGCGGGGCTTGGGGCAGAGAGCCGCGGCGCGGGGGTCCCACGCTGGCGCTGGGGGCGCGGGGGGGGGGGGAGGGCGACGCGGGATAAAGCGTTCGTGGCGGAGGGGGCAGTGGGCGGGGCCCCCGCTGGGGCGCTGGGGGCGCGGTGGGCTCGGGGCAGAAAGCCACGGCGCGGGGGCCTCACACTGGCGCTGGGGACGCGGGGGGGCGGGGGGGGGCGACGCGGGATAAAGCGTTCGTGGCGGAGGGGGCAGTGGGCGGGGCCCCCGCTGGGGCGCTGGGGACGCGGGGGGGCTTGGGGCAGAGAGCCACGGCGCGGGGGCCCCACTCTGGCGCTGAGGACGCGGGGGGGGGGGAGCGACGCGAAATAAAATGGTCGGAGCTCTAGACACCCTGTGCAAGAGAATAAAGTGGTCGGGGCGGAGGGGGCGGCGCGCTGGGCTGGGCTGCGGGGGGAAGGGAGGGGGGGGGGGTGCGACGACGACGCCGAAATAAAGTAATCGGGGCGAAGGGTGCGGCGCGCTGGGCTGCTCGGGAGAGGGGGCTGGGGGGGGGGCGACGACGACGCCGAAATAAAGTGGTCGGGGCGGAGAGGGCGGCAAGCTGGGTTGCTGGGGAAAAGGACAGGGGGGACGACGACGCCGCCGAAATAAAGTGGTCGGGGCGGAGGGGCAGCGCGCTGGGCTGCTGAGGAGAGGGAGAGGGGGGGGGGGGCGACGACGACGCCGAAATAAAGTCGTCGGGGCGGAGGGGGCGGTGCGCTGGGGTGCTGGGGAGCGACACGTAGCGACACATGTCGACACAACGCCGAAATAGGCGACGACGACGCCGAAATAAAGTGGTCGGGGCGGAGAGGGCGGTGCGCTGGGCTGCTGGGGAAAGCGACACATGTCGACACAACGCCGAAATAGGGCGACGACGACGCCGAAATAAAATGTCGGGGCGGAGAGGGCGGCGCGCTGGGCTGCTGGGGAAAAGGACCGGGGGGGGGCGACGACGACGCCGAAATAAAGTGGTCGGGGCGGAGGGGCAGCGCGCTGGGCTGCTGAGGAGAGGGAGAGGGGGGGGGGCGACGACGACGCCGAAATAAAGTCGTCGGGGCGGAGGGGGCGGTGCGCTGGGGTGCTGGGGAGCGACACATAGCGACACATGTCGACACAACGCCGAAATAAAGTGGTCGGGGCGGAGGGGGCAGCGCGCTGGGCTGCTGAGGAGAGGGAGAGGGGGGGGGGCGACGACGACGCCGAAATAAAGTCGTCGGGGCGGAGGGGGCGGTGCGCTGGGGTGCTGGGGAGCGACACATAGCGACACATGTCGACACAACGCCGAAATAAAGTGGTCGGGGCGGAGGGGGGAGCGCGCTGGGCTGCTGAGGAGAAGGAGACGGGGGGGGGGGCGACGACGACGCCGAAATAAAGTCGTCGGGGCGGAGGGGGCGGTGCGCTGGGGTGCTGGGGAGCGACACATAGCGACATATAGAGATACATATATCGACACACAGACACACACACATATCGACGCATAGCGACACACAGCGACACATAGCGACGCGCACATGGAGACGCATAGCGACACACAGCGACACAGATAGCGGCACATGAAGGGCACAAGGCACACAGCGACACAGATAGCGACACATGAAGGGCACAAGGCAGCTGGGGGGGGGCGACGACGACGCCGAAATAAAGTGGTCGGAGCTCTAGACACCCTGTGCAAGAGAATAAAACGGTTCCCAAATCGGACCCGCGGACCCCGCAAACCGCCCGCGTTAAGATTCTACAGGGGAAGGGGGAAGGGGGGGTCGGTACTTAACTTTCCACGATGGGCGCGCGTCGTCTCGCGCACTCCCATCAACTCCCCGCGCAAGCGGGCCCCGTTCAACATGGAGACATACATCCCTCTCACCCCGGATGCTGCAAACAGCACGTCTGGTCGCCGTCCGTTCGGCGGCGCCGACGTTATCTCGCGAAATCCTCGTGGCCATTTTCACCTCTAGAGGAAAATCTTTCGTCCTGCGTAAGTACGGGGCCATCTCGTGGGAAGCGTGAGCTCCCGACCACGTCCCCAAGGCGCCCAGAAGTCACGCGGGCGCTCAGGAGTTCCAGGATCTCTTGGCCTGGGCCCCCGGAAGTGCACTTACGATGTGTACTCAGCGCGGAGAACTCGCAGGGGCCCGAAGACGCTTCACTCAACGCCTCGCGGCACGGCGGTGGATGCAACTCCTCCTCGTCGCACCGCAGGAACGGTCGGTCGGGCAGTCTGGGCGTTTCGCTTGAAACTTCCTTACGTCGTCTCTCCGCCTGCTTCTTCTCCTCCTCCTCCTCCTCCTCCTCCTCCGCCCCCTTCTCCTCTAGCCGTTCTGGCTCGGAACTTTCTGAGCTTGCCGACGCCAACATCAGAACGGCCTGCGCCGGCGGGCCACGGATTTCTGATTGTCGTCGCCAACGGCAGCATGTCTGGCGATGGTTCCGTGCCCAGAGGCCCTCGCATGCCTCTTTGGTCTTGTTCGCAGTGCACCAGGACTGCGAACTGGGCTTGTCGTATCAAGTGTCTTTGCGGTACTGCTGCTCCTCAGCGTGCGCACCAAGCCGCAAACAAAATGCCAAGGAGAATGCTAAGGCGCCGCCTGCCACTTCGGCTCCGAAGGGCCCGAGCGGACGTTGGGCGGCGGGGCCCCCGCATGACCTCGCCCAGCAGCTCACCATGGCCATAGACAAGAAGCTGGACCAGCGGCTCAAGGCACTTCAGCCGAAGGCTCCATCTCCTGGTACTGATCCTCCTCGTGCTGACCCCGATGAGGCACGTGCTGGCAGGATCGAGTCCCCGGAGAGCGCCCTCAAGCAGCTGGAGTCAGTCGATGATGCCGATCCCGCCAAGAAGTGCTCGCAAGATCAGCTGCGCGAGGCCCGCGCTGCCCAGCGGAGCAGCCGGCCTCCTCCGCAGCAGCATGCCAACGTTGCCTTCCGCCTCCAATCGGCCCAGAGGAAGCATGAGCGCGCGAAGGCAGCTGTCGCCGCCCAGCGCGAAGTCATCGAGGCCGCGCAGGCAACGCTGGCGGGGCTTCAAGAGAAGGAAGCAACAATCTGTCGGGAGGTTGATGTCCTTTCTGCTGGGCTGCGCAGGACGATGCCTGTTGCACCTAAGCATGCAGACCTCAGCTTGCCCACCGAGGTGTTGGAGGCAAACGCTGATACCCGCGACTTCTCCCAGAACCCGTTGTTCGTGAAGTTCCAGCAGATGCACAAGGAAGCGAACGATTCAGCTGTGGTGGCGCCAGTACCCGATGCAGGGGAGCGGCCGCCCCCAAGTGAAGCAGCGCCTGGGGGGGCGGAAGATGAAGAGATGCCACAGTATGATGGGCTCTCGGCAGAGGACGTTGACAAGTTGTTCACCGCCACGGGAGGCCATGGAGATA